TTGTCTTTTGAGTATGGCTGTGTACTGGTGCAGGAATCAGTAAGAACTACCTTGTCTGTATTGGTTAACTTGCCTATTGTCTCAATTTCTGTGTTTGTGTACTGTGAGGCACACATGGGTAAGACCATGACTCCAAAGTTAGTTCTGTGAACTTCATCTGTTGCTGTGCTCTGGGTTGCCATCTCCTTGATGGGTCTGACCATTACATCCACTGAACAATCTCCACATCCAATAGACCTGAACTCCTTAATTTGTTCAGCCTTGGTTTTGCAAAGTCCTAAACCTTCGGCTGTTAATTCAGTGTTGATCCCCATTTCACATACACTTAATTCCATTCCCACACTCTGGTTGCACATCGTGACCTGCCTGCCAACACATTGATCCTTAACCTCAGCACGTTCTTGTACAACCCACTGCTCCATTAGCAACTCCGGACCCACCGAAACATGCCTTGTCTCTGGTCTGCAAATAATGCCTACTGAATTCATTTGTTGGACATGATTTGTACTTGCATTGCTAAATTCAACATGGTTGCCCACACCGTGGCTTTGTGTGGACACTCTGGCCTCCACTGAAGTGCTGTACATCTCTGGCCTTGCCATCATACCCTTGTCTGCCTTTTTTCTCGATCCAGCCACTTGAAGCTGAAGCTTTAGCTTTCCCATTTCCATTTGGTGGGTGGTCTCCTTAAGTTGAACCTCCAGTCTGTAGATCTTTTCTTTCAGGGCTTCGATAGTCTGGTGCTGCATCTCCATTTCAGCTTCTACTTCACTACTCATACCTAGCATGGCTTCAGTCACACCAACTCCTGTGCTCCTCAACTCCTGCTCTGTTCCCACAGCCACATCTCTGTTTTGCCCAGGTGACCTCCGATATACAACTACATTGTTCATGTTCTCATCAGCTCCGACACCAATGGACTTGCTCTCACTCCTCTGCCACTGGACTTTTTGGTTTGTTTTCCCCTCTGTTTGGTGTAAGCTGTGCTTCCTTTTCTCACCATTATCCTGCAGGTTCCTCTCCAAAGCCTCCACTTCAGCTGTCAGTTGCCTGAACTCTTGTAGCCTTTGAGTTCTCTGCTCAGTATTCTCCATCTCCTCAATGTGAAGTTCAGAGCCTGTCCTGAGCTGGGTCAGTGGCTCATACTGATCAGCACTGCCAACACTATAGGAGCGCTTCCTGAAGCCTCCACCTGGACTTTGCCCTGCTACCGTAGAGTTCTTCATCCGAGACACTAGTTGCCTTTTTTCTTCTTGCAAGACTGAGATCTTGACTTGAAGGATTGGGATGGTCTTTACTTGCTCCTCCAGTTCTTTTAGTCTCTTTAGAGCCACTACCATCTGTTCTCGAATGTGCTGGAGGTGCAGGGGGCTAACATTGGTCACTGGTGTGGTCATGCCTGAGCTGAGGGGACTGTGGCGGATCGAACTGCCCATAGAGGATGTGAAGTAAAGATTGTACTCGCCATTGCCTAGATGTCCATTATGCTGAAAAGAATGTGAGTTGGGTGAACCCTGGCTTGGCCCATAGGAGCCACTGTAAGAGGACAGGGAACTGGAAGAGCCCATTCCTCCAAAACTGGCTAGTCGACGACGAGGCGGCTCATTGACTGGTGGCTGTATCAGGAGCCGCTCCTGTTCCAATCGCCTTCGGGTCTCCATCAGTGTTTTCTCCACCTGGGGATTATGGCGAAGGCGGCGGGGAGAAGGTGGAGGCAGCAGTTGCTTGGTCTCAGGGACGTTCACAAAGGCTTGGGGAGCCTCATGGACGTGGGCAGTATGGCCAGGGGGGGCTACCTGGTTCTGAGGCATAAAGTAGACGGGCAACTGTTTGCTCTCATCGCTGTTAGAAGAGGACAAGGAGTCTGTTGAAGTCCACTCAGTCTGGCCACTGCAACTGCTCTGAGGTGGCGGCACAGACCTGGACACTTTTGGCTTCCTTTGGATGTTTAGCTTCTTGATGGTGTTGCCCCTCTCTATGTCATCCACATACTTAAGGAAGTCCAGGTCTAGCTGATAACCATACGGGGTTTCCAAACAGTAAGGGTCCTTCTCATCATGATCTTTTTCTGAAAAAAAAAAAAAGTTAAATTAGTTGAATATGTTATCTAATCACTCTACAATTTATTCAATTATTTTTTTTAAATATCCAAAATGTCAGAGAAGAAAATGTATAATCGGTCCTTAAAATTGGTTACATTTTTTTAAAGCTCTGTAACACCATATAACTTTGTGGATGCAAATATTCCCAATTATGATAATTTCCTTTATGCAATATTACACAAATATTAAACACCATATGTGGTATTGAAGCCAAAGCAATACAATAACAACAAAAAATGTATTGATTTAAACAGCCAGCTAGTCTAAAAAGTTGATTACTACACAGAAAGAGCACAGAGTCTAAAAAATAAGTTCTCTTTTTGACAGAATGGTTCTCCATTCCCTGTTACATTAAGACATATACAGTATGCAAGTCTCTTACCAAAAGGTGTCACTCCTGTGGTTGTAAGCCCAAAGGTGTGATAATGGTGTGATCACAACCGTCATACCCAGTAATCATAACAGTGTGAGTCAGTCATTACAACACCCCTTTACACTTACACAATACATTGTTAAGATTTTGCCAAGAAGAGTCAAACCATTAACTAACAGAAACTGAACTTTCCATCTATCGATTTCCAACACCAGATTGTAAAGATGTATTCTGCACAACTTCATGGCAAAACAAACTCCATGTGTTTGCTGAGCATTTGCAAGGGGAGGGTAACTGGGGGTGGGGTTAAGGGAAAACAAGGAGAGCAAATATTTATTTCTACCCAAAGATGTATTTGGTTCAATGCAACTGGCAATACCTTAAACATTTCACTCACTCACTACCTAGCAGACAAGAAATGGCTTCACAGAGAGGCAAAAACTTTAATGGTTTCTTTTTAGCTAAAAGCCAAGGAATATCCATCAACAGAGCTTATATCACAGTCCAAATTCCTCACCAGACAGAGAATTCCTCCCGTCAGTTCGACAGATTAACTCTCTGGAAGCCAACACACTTTTTGATGATTTAGAGAGCAGACACAGTGCATTAAGAACAATCAACAAACCATTAAATATATTTTCTTTGTACCTTTTAAGGAAATATGTAAAAAGCTAGAAAGTTTACTTGACCATGTAACACTGCCTTCCGTGTCCCTTATGTAAACTTAATTGAAAGGAGTTTTGAGAAGGTTAAGGCAACCTAATCCCTCATTGTTCAAGCGTCACTTACCCCAAGTCAAACAGCAGTCCTCATGCAGCGGCGCCTGTTCCCTTACAAGCCGTAATAGAGTTTTATAACTTGAACAAGCTGCAGACTGCCTCCCCTCACTCACTGAGCACTTTCTCAACCTTCACTCCATAAGGGGAAAAAAATTCCACTATTGGTGTAAACTTAGCCTAGCTCAGCGCAGCCTTTGATAGGCTAAATGCCTCCACCAATCATGCATCACTTACACGGTTTCTTCTGTCTTGCCTCTCTCAAAGTGTTCTTTAAACACTTCGTAACCCCTTCAAACAGTGGTCCCTTTTTAAGCACTCTTTCTAGGCATGTCTTTGTCATATTAAGGAGCCTAAACTCAGCAGACACATAATACAAGGTTCATTTAAGCTTTTGCTGCTCCTTAATGTGAACTATGTTCAAAACACCAATATATGGTTACATAAATATTCTTTATTTAACCGCGCAACAATAATTCAACCTCACTGACAAAACCTCTTTTACTGTATTTGCACTGCAACAAATGCTAGCTTGTTCAACACACCAGCTAGCTTTGCTGACTATAGCAAGAGCACAACAGCAATGTCATGGAGAGCGAGACAAGCTTGTCTGGTACGAGGAACAGACACTTGGGCAGCTGAGTGTTGACCTCACTGGTGAAGGGGGGGGGGTGAGGGTTGGTGGGGGTGTGGTGGGGGGGGGGGGGGGGGGGGTGTAAACCTGCAACACTAAAGGGGCAAGCGAGAAGCGAGGGAAACAAATGAAAGCAGCGTGACAAGCAGCTCCAAGAATAATCCCCCCACACTCTCTTTTAGCAGTCTAGAATTACACTACCCACCATTAGATACAAAAACAGCCAAACAGCCATCAGATCAAAATAGTTTATGTTACGGGCAACGTACTGAAGCAAACTTACTCTATGATGGAAAGCACTTTGAATGGTGTGAGCTAGGCTGGTCTAAAGTTCAGCAACGACCTGGCAGCAAGTAAAAGATTAAAAAATGACCAAACTGAGACAGCACTTACAGAAAATATCATAAAGACAAATATTCGCACTCCACCTGTGTAAATTTAAAATGGATGGTAGTCCGCTCCTGTAATGGGTGTAGGCTAAGGTTTCCTACTCATAGGTTGCTTTAGACTGCAAGTTATAGTCCTTGACACAAGGGGGGAAAAATGAAAATTGCCGGGTGATGCAACCTTTTTTTTAAGAAAAAATGTGATTGGCTAAAACAAAAGTAAGGATATGGCAGCAACCAGTAAGAGAGTAGAAAAAGCAAGAGATCTGGTAGGTGGAAAAAAACATGACACTTGAGCATTTGGCATGTCTGTTGTCAAAGTTATTTGTGGACAAAACGAGCAGAAAGAGACACCATGTAAATGGTGTTTATAAGTGGTATGGAATACTGTGAAATCTACAGGAAGCTTTATTGTTCAAACAATGACAAATGATTATGTCAATATGAAGAAAAAAATATTAAGTACATTCAGTCCACATTAGGAGTGATTTAATGACTGTCCAATCTGTCTAGACCATTTAAAAAGGTCAAAATTTGTATCCGATTTGGAAGAGGGGAAATGGTTTGAACATGGAAATAGTTCTAAAATATGAAACTAGGGGTGTTTCTTCCTTTTTTTAAATATGTTTTCACTTGCATTTGCCAACAGACAGGATGGTGTGAATTATCTCAGCTAAAATCTCACAAGACAATGTTTGACCAAATGTAACATTAGTGTCATGTAAACAGCTGAAAAAAGATGTCCACAAACAGCTGTACTCTTTTTCCTGCTTGATCCGTGCACTAATAATTCTACAAGAGGTGGACTGAAAGGTACATTAGTACAAGTGTGCCTCGCAATCTTTGAGTTTAAAAGGTCATGGCTTATCTATGGTGTCTAACAAAAACTGTCTGACTAAATGTCTGAAAGCATGTCAACAAGTAGCTGCTAAATATTTGAGCGATCAGCATTACATTGTCACCAGACAACATGCTGCCTTGCAAAAGTTCACACTTTATTTTAAGGTCCAGTTCTCGGTATTAACTAACTATTAACTATGAATTTTGCCTCAATAAACTCCTAATTACTGCTTATTAATAGTTAGTAAGGTAGTTGTTAAGTTTAGGTATTGGGTAAGAATGTAGAATATGGTCATGCCGAAAATATGCTTTATACGTACTATTAAACAGCCAATATGCTAGTAATATGCATGCTAATAAGCAACTAGTTAATAGTGAGAATTGGTCAGTATACTAAAGTGTTACCCAAAAGGTCTGTAGTTCAAATTTGTTTTTGGCCTCTTTTAGGTTCTGCCTATTACACTGGCGCTCTATTGCAATACAACACTCATGAGAGTATTCATTACCAATTACAAACCCCTGAGGACAATGTTTATAGTTCTCATGTCACACAATGAAATCTCAGTGGATCTCTCACAGGGTTCAGGATCACCTTGGGCACGGATCTGCTGAATGTTAGCAATGAAAATAAACGTCTATTTGAATGTCAAGCCTTTGATGCCCAAATCCATGATCTGGGAAGAAAAACAAACTTCATAAAGCTTGTTTTGCTAACCACAAAACCTATATGGAAATTTGAGAGATCAGCATGTCAGGAATGACCTTCACCCAAGTTATCTTTCACAGCAGGAAAACGTGAACATGTGCATTTATTTTGACCTAAACAGAAGAAAACATGTAGGAAATTGTTACCTAAAAAGTTATATATGAGCACTTGATATCATTATCAAGTAAATGAAGACCATATAAAGACCATTATGAACTTTTTGGCTGCATACAAGAATCACTGAAGCTATAAATAGTTGAATATATACAAGGAAAACATGACCAATTACAGTTCAATATGCAAATATTATGATAAAAGAAGCCTGTAAGCCCCAGCTAGAACTTGTGAACATGTATATAAAAAATCTTTGAAACATGCACCTGGAACATGTCGATGTCTTTCAGAAGGCATTTCAGGCATGCGCACTGCAAAAACTAAAACCCACATCAGTGGCCTCCAGATCTTTACAATGCCAGTTTGCTTAAAACAGTCCAGTACATTAACAATGCAAGTTACAACATTACCTACTGCACTGATGCTATAGAATAGGACAGGGGGTGTGATATTTCCTGGTGGATACGAAAAGAAAAAACATGTTGTACAAGACCCTCAAATGAAAACTCTTTAAAAAATTATCTTTAACGAAGTAACTACTAACTAGGGTTGGGTATCGTTTGGGTTTTTTTCGATACCGGTGCCAAATCGATATTTTTAAAACGGTTCCGGTGCCTAAACGGTGCCTGAGCCGATACTTATTAAAGAATAGAGAAAGAATAGAGAATGCTAGTGTTAGAGGCTCTTTTTCTTTATAAATAAAACAAGTAGTTAGAATAGAAATAGAATAGAGGGTGCAAATGTTAGAGGATCAATTTTTTTAATAAAAAAAAAACAAGCAGATAAAATTAGAAGTAGCAAGTTAGAATAGAGAGTGCTAGAGTTAGAGGGTCAAATGAATATGAAAGAGATGTGTTTTCAGCCATTTCTTGAAAATATTAAGGACTCAGCTGCTTGGATTGAGCTGGGCAGGTCATTCCACCAGGAGGGAACAGTTAAAGTAGAAGTGCAAACCTTTAACCCACTTGGGAAAATCATCCCATGGCAACAGTTTAAAAGTAGCCCAATTCTGTGGAAAAAACGCGGACTTGGCAACCCTGCATCCAACAAGAGCTACCGGAGTCAGTTTTGACTGATCACAGGTCGAGAATAAGGAGAGATGACTGACAAGACCATGCTGGAGTATTTGCTGCTCAACAGATTCTGAGCTCATTGACAAAAATCTGATTTTGTAAGATGTGCTCCCTTTACACAGAGTGCGTGTGATCGTGAAATCAAAAGTGAAAGTAAACAGCGCAAACGCTCATTCAAAAATATTTAAATACTCCGCATACTGAGAGCGGCTCCCTGATGGACAAGGGTATAACTGCAGCCTGGAGATCTCCAAATGGGGGTGGGAACTCCAAAACGGGGTGGGAGCTCCAAAATAGGGCGTGGCTTCCTCCCATTGACAGACAGGCACATGACACGCATGCGCAATTTTTCCCCCCAATCCACTTCAATGCAAATCCACTCCGCCCCACAGCTGATTCTAAAGTTTTTATTGGTTGTGTCAATTAAAGTGTTGAGTTCCTACACTATGCTACAAAAATGCTAACCCCTAAACCTACCCCACACCTGACCCTAACCTTAACCAGTGAAATTGACTGCATGGTGGGACTGGCGCTGAATAGCGTCATCATTAGATCACAAAAGGAAGCATTTGACTGGTGTTGTGGAGTAAAAAGGTTATAATGTTCTCTTTTGTTGGACAACAGGTTTAAAAATGTGAATACAAGGGAGGTTTAGCTTTAGGCATTTTAATTTAAGTATGTTTAGCTTAGTTACAGGAAGGCTACCTGCTGCCATCAGAGCAAGTGTAATTACTGCATTCACGCGCTCCTCGGATGCTCTCATTTCCAGAGTTGTGCTTTTAAATCGGAATGTGAAAACAACATGGACACGCTCGTTACCACAAAGATGTGTTGGATTTGTATTATTAGAGCTTTCCAACTTGAGTTCACGTGCATTTTCTCAGTCGGGAAATTATTTTTCACGTGCGGTGCCAGTGATGATGCTTCTTACGTCCATTTCGGAGAACCGGAGGAAATATTTCAATCGATCGCTCAGGCATGGCACTGAAATGAGGCACCAAAATCTGCGTTCTGATTCGGTTCTAGTACATACCGGTTAAATAGGTACCGGTGCCATATTGGTACCGGGTTTCGGTACCCAACCCTACTACTAACACAATAGCTTGAAACCTGAAATCAAAAATACAAAACAGCAAAAGACAGACCTTTAAATGCCTAGAGCACTGAATATAATACGGTTTTGTGACGTACTGGGACAGAAGTTTGACAAGTAGTACTGTAGCAGGCTAGCACTACTGGTCTGAGCATATCAGAGTCTTCTCTCAAACACATACACACACAGAAGAGAAAACAGAGGCCCTTTTTCTCACTCCGGCCTGGTATTTCCTGACCCACGTACTGGGACAGAAGTTTGACAAGTAGTACTGTAGCAGGCTAGCACTACTGGTCTGAGCATATCAGAGTCTTCTCTCAAACACACACACACACAGAAGAGAAAACAGAGGCCCTTTTTCTCACTCCGGCCTGGTATTTCCTGACCTGGCCCATGGAAACCACGTCAGCCTCCCAGTTTAATTATCCCAGAAATCCACGTAATTTTCAAGACCACACTAACAAACACACACAGAGCCATTAAGCAAGCACAACAACAATGCTGGAACAGATACAGAAGCTTCTCTAAGAATAGTCCTGCCATGAAATAACAGAGCGAAACCCAGAGAAACAGTGAACCGATTCAGTATTAAGCACTCATATTAACTAAACCTGGGATACATTCCAGACTAAAGCTAATTCAGCCAATATTAATAGTAACTGAACCAAGAATATCAGAAGGAATGGCGGTAAATTACATGCAGGGTACATGTAGGGTACTTCTATTTTTGTATACAGCAATTTGCTTTGAAGCTTTGTACACTCTAGATCAGAATAAAAGCTTGACTTTATCGACAGTCAATACACAAAGAAACAATAAAGATGTTTAAATGTTAATTAGGTACCAGATCACTTGTATAGCAACGAACATTGTAACTCAACAGTAATCAAGTGGCCGTAATACTACTGTCCAACAATTTAGCACGTCCATTAGCCCTTCAATATTTACATGCTAATCAGCTAGAACTCTAGACCTCATAATGGCACGGCTTGGCAGCCTTGTTCAAGACCAAGTGCTCTGGCCTTAGTTTGCTGTGGAGCCGCCATATGGAAAGGGTCCAAGACAACACAAAATCTGCTTTAGGCTGTTACTGACCTGAATTTCATTGTGCAAACATCAAAGGTGACAACCACAGACAACCAAAATGCCCAAAGAAGATAAAGAAGCTAACTATTGACCGAGTTAGATTCATTAAGATGATTCTGATCTACAACAAAAACATGCCTGCTTGACATTTAAAGTATCATCAACATGACCTTTTGTCAATAAGCTGGCTACATGGCCAAAATGGAGCAAAATCCATGGTTTCAAATCCTAGTTGAAATCAACTTGGGGATCAATTAATTTCTACTGAATCACACAATATAAAGTGAATGACATAACAGTTCTTCTTATTATGTTGTAGCTCTTTCACTTTATTTTCAGGAAGAATGCACAGTGGAATGTGTTGACGTTGTGGTTGTGTGTTCAGAGCACGGCAAGGCTGACAAGCAATATTTCACTGCATGCTGCGAAAGTCACACTTCTATACGGTGTTAGACCTGCAGGACTGTACATACATACTACATATTTAGCATCTCAAAACACACAAGCATCTGTAGTTCATATATCCATATGTTTATACATATATTCATGTTCATATATCTGTTCATATGCTCACCTGGGTCTTCACTTGGTTAAAGCTGAAGTGTGTACATTTGCAAATTTTTTATGTTAAAAAACTTTCTCTATTTCCATCTTAGTTTTTTTTTTTAGCATCGCAACCAGTTCAACAAACAACAAGGAACAATTGGCTCAACCCGTGGTGTGAGTTTGGGGTGGGACTGTTAAGAAGACAGGGAGGAGTGTTTAGGAAACCTGTTTGACAGCAATTATTTTTGCAATTCCATTTGGTGACTTTAGTGGTGCCAAAATTACACACTTCAGTTTTAACTGAGAATAATTGTAGGCATAAACACTGATGATTTATTAGCGAACAGATCATTAGACAATCAGACTAATTCAAAGGGAGGGGTATTACCTGAGGCATTGCCGTTAACGTGCATGGTTTGGGCCATTGCCGCAGACACTTCGCTTGAAATCCCACAGAGAGCCTGAATGCACTCATGCAAATGCCATGCATCAAATCAGCTTGCCATGCAACCTGCAAACTGGACAAAACACAAAGCACAAAATGTCAGACACAATGGCACATGCATGATTCACAAAAACAAATACACAAACACACACTATGAAAAATAAAAAAATAGGTGAAGTTCGTGAAACAAATCATGGGCTCGGAGTTGATATAGGTGAGGCCTAAGCTTAGTCATGCACCTTAGTGCTGTAATTTTGTACTTGTGTGCATGAACTTACGGGTAGTTCATCCAAAACATGAGATTCATTTAGGTCATTTAATATTTAACAACAAACAGAACCTTAACCTTCAAATGGTGGGCATATAAAATAACCTTGTGACAAATCCTAGTTGAAATGTTAGTTAACTCAAAAAGTAGAATTTTGTCATAATTTACTCATTAAATTTCAGGCTGTTTCTCACACAAAGCTATTTTGTATAGTTTCAAAATACTTGGTACATGAGCACTGGCATCTTATATGATGCTTCTGATTATGTTTTTTTGTCATTTTGAGCTTGACAACACAAGTCCTCATTCACTTTCATTAATTTGTAAAAGAGTGGACAGGATGTTCTTAAAAAATACACCTTTTGCATTCCACGTAAGAAAGTCAGTCAGTCATACAGGTTTGGAACAACATGAGGGTAAGTAAATGATGACAGAATTGTATAACTTTTGGGTGAACTATTAATTTTATAACTTTTTTTCATTTGACTTGCCATGTATTGAAAAGCCCAGACAAAGCTAGCCTTATAGCCAAACAAGGTCGGGTAGGGTAAGTAAATGATGACAGAATTGTATAACTTTTGGGTGAACTATTAATTTTATAACTTTTTTCATTTGACTTGCCATGTATTGAAAAGCCCAGACAAAGCTAGCCTTATAGCCAAACAAGGTCGGGCACTCAATCACCTTATAAGAGCGTCAAAATGAAACTGTACTCATTCTAAATTAGCACTGAGACTGGGAGATGGGCCAACTTCAAAAGCAATAAGCCCAAATAAAGATCAGAAATGAGGGGCAACCAGCACACAATCTGCTTCCATCTCAAACAAAATTATTCAAATTAATATTGATTCATATCGATTCTGATGCCAAACTTTATTTTGTGTGAAGGAGAAGCTGTTTGAGCATCAGTAATATAAAAAACTAAGTATATAACTCAGTATTGCTGAATTCAGCATTCAGTATGAGCCTTAAAAAAAACACTTAGATACTAAAGACAGCAGAGCGCTGACGGAGCAGCAGACATGCATGTGGGCTGCAGATAAAGTGGTGGGTCTCATAAACCCCCAGTGGAAGAACGGCAGGAAGAAGGACCAGTGGGAGGTCTGCAATGTTCTCTGAAGAACACATACTTGGGAAACTAGTAAAAACAATGATTGGACCAGTCTGAGTATTGTGAAATACAGGACATGTTATGAAATTTCCTCCAACTCACACAAAAAAACACAAACTCACATATTACAACTACAATAAAAACAACATGTCATTTTTTTTTTGGCAGACACATGCAGCATGGCCAAAGTTCACATCCAAACTGAGGTTACCACTTTGAAGTGTTGTGCAATGTCTTATTCAACAGACACCAAAACAAAATGTAGCTGATGTTTGTGAAGTTTCGAAATTTGTATGAATAATGTTAGATAACTTTGAAAGAAAGGTATGTAATGGATTACAATCAACCAAAAATTAGACAGTTGTGTAAATGCTGTCATACTAACAGCTATCAATACTTAGTCGGGCAACCCTTAGCCTTAATGACAGCATATAGTCTCCTGGGCATGCTGTTATCCAGCTTCATGCAAACCTAAACTTAAATTTTTTTCCCCAGACTCGGTCTGAATCATTTTTGGTCCAAAATGTATAGCAGTTTTACGGGTAGCCCACTGTACGAAGAATTTTTGGGTATAATTTGTCACAGTTTACTTTATTTTGCTATCCTCAATTACAATATATATATACATATACATATACATATATACATATACATATATATATACACATATACTGTATATATACACATATATATATATACATACATACATACATACATTGAACAAAATTATAAACGCAACACTTTTGTTTTTGCCCCCATTTTTCATGAGCTGAACTCAAAGATCTAAGACTTTTTCTATGTACACAAAAGGCCTATTTCTCTCAAATATTGGT